GAGGGAGGTGATCCTGCCCCTCTCCTCTGCCCTGCTGAGGCCACATCCAGAGTACTGTGTCCAGTTGTGGGCTCCGCAGTACAAGAGAGACATGGCACGACTGCAGAGAGTCCAGCGGAGGGCTACCAAGATGGTTAGGGCACTGGAGCATGTCTCCTGTGAAGCAAGGCTGAGAGAGCTGGGCCTGTTTATGCTGGAGAAGAAGACTGAGAGGCGACCTGATCAATGTGTCCGAGTATCTGAAGGGAAAGTGTCAAGAGGATGGGCCAGACTCTTGTCCGTGGTGGCCAGCGACAGGACAAGAGGCAACAGACACAAAGTGGAACACGGGAAGTTCCATCTGAACCTGAGGGAAAAAACTTGTTGACCGTGAGGGTGAGAGAGCAGTGGCACGGGTTGCCCAGAGAGGTTGTGGAGTCTCCTTCGCTGGAGAGATTCAAAACCTGCCTGGACGCAATCCTGGGAAATATGCTCTAGATGAGCCTGCTTGAGCAGGGGGGTTGGACTAGATGATCTCCAGAGGTCCCTTCCAACCTCAGCCGTTCTGTGATTCTGTGATTCTGTAACTCTGCAGCATCCAGTGACCATAGCTGACTAGCTTCTGCTAATAGGAAAGGACAGCTGTTTATTGACAGATGCAACTGCTAAAATGCCTTGCTATGAGACAGCTGGTAATGCCTGGGAAGTCAGTTCTGCCTCCATAGTTGCATGTGAGATTTCTTCTTACATTGATATTTCAAATCCTTCCATGGAAGTTAAATGAGTTTTCTAACATAAAGGTGCAATTTAGCCTTGTAATTTCCCAGTGCTCAAACCTAATGATATGTCACATTTGAAAATATTTTATATTTTCTACATATTTGGGCTGCACACAGTTCTTTTGGAAGTCCGTATCTATGCAAATGCCTAAGCATTATATGTATCTTCAGTAAAGTAAAAGCAATTTTTAATGCTTATTTGTGTGGGATTTTACATATTCGGTCTGTTTCTGAACTCCTAGGTTTGTTGCTCCAGTGCCTTCTCCTCACCACATGAGCCCCCAGAGAGTTTCCATTCCTCCTCCCGTGATGCAGAGGCGGACCCCGCAGCCTCCTCACCTTCAGCAGCCTGCGGGAATGCATCTGAAGACATACCCATCAGCAGCAAACCCTCCTTTTCAACCTAATAGCTTCCACATCCAAGGTAAGAAAGAAAAAATCTTCATCACTTTTTTTTTTTTGGTCATTTGATATTTTCAAAGCACCTTTACTTTGGAAAGACTTCAGGAAGTAGGCTTCAGGACCCTGTCTTCAAACTCCCTTAAAATTCTCAGCTTAGCTACTCATTATTAATCTTACTATGGAGTTACGAGTTTCTCTGCAGAGTTATTTTTGGAGCTAATGCTGAAATATAACTGCAAATAATTCTTCAGTGGCCTCTGATTTTAATTTTCACATGTTATGCTTCTGATTGCCCCCAACCCTATACATAAACTGTTACCAGATTTTCCAGAAATTGAATATTTTTCTATCTTTTGCTTGGGGAGTGATGAAGAATTCTTCATTCATTAGCACATGTCTCTTAGAGTTATGTTCTTACTTGCACTATATAAACAGCTTCTACAAGCTTTCTCTCTCCCTCTTTGTTCAATCATATGTAAAACTGTAGCCAAGAGGAAAGTCGACAGCAGCTGAAAACAATATTAGGTTGTCTGAGGGTTTTTTTAGCTGATATTGAGACAGAATGGTAATTACCTTAACATTTTGAAAATATGATGATAGAAGAACTTCTATTTCCCCTAAATTCATTTCCTCTAAACTATTTTAAAATGTGGTTTGTCATATTTACATGCACAAGGTGCATAGCACAGTGCACTTTTATAGGCCTTGGGACTCCCCTTCTTGATCATCCTTTCTGAGAATTATCATCAGAGAAATCTCAGGAAGCATTTCTTGAGAAAACCAAGCTTTCTTTCACTTACTTTTATTCTTTGTCACTGATGGAAGCAATCTCTCCAGGCACGGGGATGAGACCCTGCAGCTCTCCAAGTGACAGTGAAGGGGAAAAAGCAAGGTCCAAGTCCTGTTCTGTTCTTCAGGTCACACTAGATAATACATGGGCAAGATATGAGCCAGGTGCATTTCTTCCAGGAACTGACAATACTGTGTAGCACTGACTAGCATTAGGAGAACATAAGATTTACCAAGGGACGTAAATGGTTATTGTTGGCTTTCTTCATTCTCTGATTAAAGATACAGTAATAATCTGTAGAGTATAGCATCTAGAGTGTAGAATAGAGTTTTGATTTCTTAATATGTTGTTCCTTGTCATAGAACATATGTGAATACATGCCAGAGCTTGTCCAATAAATTCCTAGCGTATGCGGCATGAAGGGATCTGGCTGTCCTTCCCATTTCCACAACACATTACATTTTACTTAAGTCCCTTTTTTGCTGAGTCAGTATTTGGCAACATTCGTCTTCCAGAATGGCATCCAGCTGGACGACCTCAGGGTTTGATGACTGCAGGACTGTTATCCCCCTTGGAAGAAAAGTAGTCTCTGAGTCCGTAGGTGGCTTTAATGCTATATTCCTGTCAAGGTCCTGGGAACAGTATTGTTAATAGAGCCCAGCATCACAACCCATTGCTCCAAAGTTTAACAGTTTCCAAAGAATCCTGCCTTCAGCAGGCTCACAGGTCACCTTGAAGTGGTTGCTGTTCTCCACTGGACTCACACGGCCTGGTGCAGCTATCTCCACACCTGCAGTGGCATCTCCTTTTCATGGCAGTGCTGAGCAGTGCTACTACCCCCAGTCTCCACCTCCAACAATCCATAGAGGATTTAAAAGGACAAAAGACATGAACCATTAAAGCCATGATGAGAAGAACACCCAAGCCAAGTCTTGAGAGACCGTCCGTCTCGGGGGATGTCACTTATGTGGATCAGAGCCCCACTCCACATCCAAATTTTAGATAGAACTTAATTTTATCTCCAGAATGGCCCAAGCACAGATAGCCTCAAGGGCTTGAACCCTCAGCCCGGATCTCATGCAATCCAACATTAGTGTTACTGTCTTTACCTCCCTGTGCTAGGAAAAGCTATGTTGAAAATTCATGTTTGTTGACAGGGAGTTAGATATATATTGATAGCAACTCCAAGCTGAGTTTGTACAGATCTCTGCACTTAAAACTGGTAGGAAGAGAATGTGAGATGAACTCCCTAACCTTCTCTCTATTATTGAAAGATATTGCATGTTGCAAAAACAACAGCTACATTTAGTGTTAAACATTGTCTCAAAGATTAAGTAACCTATTGTCATTTTAAGAACTATCTGTTCAGAATGTATTTCCTCCAGCTTAAGTGCAGCTGCCTCACTCCTATGCTCTGTACTGAAAGCTTTGCCCTGTATGCTTCATTTGCTTGCCTACACTCTCCCTTCTGTGCTTCAAAAACAAGTGTTTCAAGAGTTCATGGTTAAGTTTTCCCAGCAGTAACACAAAAGATTTCCATCTTCCTTGGTCACATCATTATAATGTAGAAGATACCATGGAGCTACTTCACCAGCCTGGACTTTTTGGTATATATGAGGTGGCTGTGAGAAGCTCTGCTAGTTTGTCTCCTGCAGTTCATAACCTGCCTTTTCATGATTTAAAGAGCTGTAGCTATAGCCATTGAACTTTCAGCTCAGCCTGCTACCAAACAATAGTGACATTTTTCTATTTCAATATGCAGTCTTAAACTTGTCAACTCCGTTTAAATTGGCTCTGCTGAGGAAGAAAGGGTTTCATCGTCAGAAAGCTTTTTGAACAAAAAAAGTTTTTTGTGGTCTGCCTTACTGAAAGCGTGAGCATCTTACAAACTCATGGAGATCTGAGCATTAATTTAGAAAGAAGTGACATAGGAGATCTAAGAGGGGCTAGTCTCATGCGCTAACAGCTTCTTGCACTACTTTTTCTTGAAAGAACATTGTCTACAGTTGAGGTTGCATGACTTGCTTTGGGTGATTTTCAGCATCAAACACTATAATGTCACAGAGGGTTGGGTATTTTTTCCTTGAATAGCATTATATCACAGACAAAATTTTCCTTTTTCTTTCATAAGAATTATGGCACCTACTAAAGGTACTCTCTTGTGAAATGCGTGGTTTCTGTTGCAGCATGGGATGTTTGGAAGTGATGACCTGAGACAACTTACTGAGCTACAGAAGAAAAGCTCTTCTTTTCCTTTTGTTGGACTGTAGTATCTTGTACAAGATTACTGTAGGCAGTAAATCTGAGATCCTGAATTCCTGTGGCGTAAAGCCTTCCCAACCCAGTTGGGGACCCCAACATGCTATATATTTATAAATGTAATTAAAGATAGCCTTGATCCTGGAAATCAACAACCATTGTCCCAGGACGCACATTGTAGCGATGAGCCTTTGCGGAGCTCCTTGCAGCTGCACTTGGCTGCGCAGTTACTGAAAAACACAGATATCCCCAGCACACAGGCAGTTGCAGGAACAGGGTATTGCCCCAAGACAGGTCAGAACGGACGAGGGAGGTAGGAAAAGAAAGGACGGTAATAGAAACTGTTCCTTCACAGGAAACTGTCTTGTCATGCTTATAGTGTAGCAGGAGGTAAAGCTCCCTGGGGCATGAACCTAGGTAACTTGATTTTGAATGCTTCTGATACCATATGAACAAGTCTGCACTAAAAATCTGCCTATTCTTTAAAAGTAGGCATGCAACTTACACCATATATGTCTGCGAATTAAGCTCATGAGCAAGGCTGGTGGAATAATGGAATAAAAGAAACAACCCAAGCAAAATATTCAGTGGAGAAAGTTGCCAATTTTTTCTTTCAGTTGTTAGCGGCTATGAATGAGCTATACTAGTGCTCTACAGACAGCCGTGCTAGTAACAGTTATATTTTCACTAGAAATAATCAGATTTAAACAAGTGTGTTATTGTAACGTCAAATTGCAACTCAGTAGTGTAAATGCCTGAAACATTTCTAAGCTTTCCGTGGTAGCAAGTCTGTCTGGTAGAACAATCTGTGACTCAAGTCTCTGTCTTACTCCTCCTGTCATTCTTCATGTGCAAACGCTACCAAAAGTTTTTCCATGTTTTTGTAATTCACTTAGTGGGAACATTAGAAATATGCTCCAGATAAACATCATTTTGAAGTAGTTTGGGCCAAAGACGGTTGTTGTGGAAATTTTACACGATTTTAATAGTGAAGACTACTTACCACTGGTGCACACTTCTTAATGACAACCATTTTCCTCAGAAAATATTCTGTAGATTTTCTTCTTTGTGGAGCCAGGCAGAGGTCTGACTGAGGAGGAAATAACTGTCCCAAAGGCAGTCAGAAACTTGCTGTCTTGTGGAAATGTTAACTGTGGCAGTTACTTTGCATTACTGATCTGTAATGAAATTTTTGTCCCAGTCTGTTTGGTGGGAGCAGGACTCTTTCACACACTTGTATTGACCAGGATCTCAGCTGTGAATTTGAGATGGGCTGTGTACCTGGGGTTTTCAGATGCTCAGCATCTCTAAGGGCAAAGCTCTGCATGTGTTACAGGAACAAATATTTTACAGGAAACTCTTGCAGTATACAGCTATTACTTTTATTATATTTATAAATATTTCGCTTTCCTCAGGAAATAATTTTATCATGCCAGAAAAATAATTGTTTGTTCTGTGCCATGCCATCATTCATCTTGGCTACAGTGCTTGGATGCAAAGAAACGCAACAGAAGTAATTGTGTGTGTGTGCATGTGTTTTAAATGTTTATAGACGTTCTCCATGCCAGGCGGCATTACTGACATACTCTGTGTTATAATTCCCATATTTGCAGCTGGCATTTGCCTTGTAAAGAGGATGGGTAATTAATGGCATTGAACACATTCGAGCCGAAATGGTTGTTGGTTTTTTAAATTAAAACAAAAAGTGAGAAACGTCTGGCTGAGGGGTAATGAAGCTGATGTGTTAAACAAATCAAATAAAACAGAACAAGGTCTGTTCTGGAATGGACTTTCCGCACCATCTGGGGCCCCACCACCACCATCTCAGGCTTCGTTACATGCCCTTGAGACGCTGCAGTTCGGAGCGGTTCGAGAGGCATCGCGCTGGCTTTTTATCTTATCGTCTGCCTTCCATTGCCTTGAACCAGCTCCCTCCTCAGCTCCCCTTGCCATCCCCCAGGATAACGCTGTGGGTAACTATTAGTCAGCAGTAACCGTGCATGAATTTTTCTGTGCGTTGTGATGTAAGGGTATGAATCAAATGCTCTTTTTTGTGTAAATGAAATAGTGATCTTTGTCTGTTGCTTTGTTGGAATACGTACGTTCCTCTGTTGGTGCCGTTGAATTGGCTTGTCGTAAGAACTTGCCTGAATAGACAGAAACAATTTCTTAGCTGCTAAGTCCAGATTGCAGTCAAATAGTACAGCTCTGACACTGTTTGTATGTGAACAGGAGTTATGTGATTCTAGGTTTACTCTTTGTCAGTGACTCCATGTCAACTTGCTCAGAGAATAAAAGATATTTTTCCTAAACGCAGTCCAGCAAATTCCAGCTTCACTCTGAAAGTCAAACTGATTTTTTCAATCTGGCTACTACTCTTGCTTACAGTGTAGAGACGTATAATAGTTTAGCAAGAGAGCAATTGATACAGTCCAGAGATGCCGTCCTGAGAGGAAAGGTTTTGTTTCTGGAATTTCACTAAGATAGCCTAAAGTTTTTTTGTTGTTTGTTTGTTCTTGTCCCATGCTGCCTGAAAACATAGAAAAATGTTGTTACACACACTCCTCTAATGGATAATCTCTAAAGAGGGGCCAAGGACAGTCAGGGTCTGGGGCCTGAATTGCACATGGCTTCAAGTCGGTCTGCCTTGAGCAGTAGGTTAAACTGGCTTGGGCGTAGCATCATGTGAATAAAGTAGAGAGCTGCTAGGGATCTTCAAGTTAGCAAAATTTGATGTATCCTGTGTGAACTCTAGTTCAAAGGTCTCTACAGTGTGACTGGATGCAGGGAAGGTCAAAGGCAAATGTCTTTGGCTCTGAGTGGTGCTAAATAACTGAGGAAGAGAGGGATATGTCCTCTGCTCTGCTCTTTCCTATTTATGGCTCTCCATTTTGAAAGATGGATATTTATAACACTGAGTTATGAGATGGACGTGTCTCGTGGAAGTGGGATTATTTTTTGTGCTCTTACTGCATCTTAAAAATTATTTTGGTGTTTATCGGTTGATGAAAGTGCTCTGTGCGCTTCTCTGGTTCTTTCTGCAAAGCAGTGGCTAATGTAACCGTGGGTCAACACTTGTAGGGCTTTGCTAGAAAGTATTTAGCCTGACTGGGGCATGAGCAAACATAGAGGATGTGACTCATGATAGCTTAACCCCAAGGTAAGTTGTTTTTCTGCCAGACTTCAGCTAGCAATAGTCAAAGTTACTGCCAGATTGTTCTGTATCAAGAACAGGATGCTGTGAGAAAGGCGCAAATAGAGAATGAGTGCAGAGCAACGTGAAAGGACATTTCAGCATGTGTCTTGAGGGGTCCTGCCAGCTGGCCCTGACCACTATCAACTGAAATGGTTGTTTCTGGTAACTAATCTGACTCACCAGTAAACTTTCACAGTGTGTCCTGTTGCTGATTGAGAGAACTGTTGATCTGGGAGCATTTTTAAAGGAGGCACAAACTGTCAATAGCTATGCAGCTTCTAAATCAAGTTTTGGGTAGCTATTGTCTTTTCTGTCTTTTTATTATTTTACTGCAGTTGTTTCTTAAATGTCAGGACTGACCATTTAGTGATTGATGGCTGTAAATTCCTGACATGCTTGGCAAACTGTTTGCCTAAGTTTTGTTGCAGCTAAAATTTAAAAAAAAAAAAACCCTCATCTTAGAGCTCAGGGCTGTGAAGTGCCAACAAATCCTGCTTTGAAGACAATGAAAGCTACAAGGGTTCAGCCTTTCAGGACTGAACACAGAGTCTGCGAGTTGTGCCTGCTGCATACATTTGCAGCCTGCTGTGGAAGAGGAGCCGTGCTCCTCCTTTTTTATGTATTTTTGTTCTGCTTCTTTTGTATAAAGACAAAATACTCTCTTTTTCATGCAAGTTTTCCAAAACAGCATTGAGAGCTGTGTTAATATTCTTCCATGTAACTGTTTGCCTGGTCAAAACTCTTGTTAATATGCATAAATTAGGTCTTTATCTCAATATGTGCACCCCAAAGTTTCTTATGAAACTGCTAAATAAAATGCAAAGACTGTGTTTCACTCACCTTTGTTATCTAAACCTCCCCATAAATCCTCCTTTGAGTTCTTGGGTGAAGGTTCAGGTTGTCTTTTCCTGTCCATAACCCTGGCCCACTCAAATGTGTTTAAATAGTAAGATTTCTGTTTCAATTCAAGCACATCCTATGCGTGCCAACGTTTGTATGTTTCCTCAAGGAGCCCACAGGAAGATAGTCTCAAAGGAAAAACAAAACTTATAAAACTCCTAAACTGTGCATCCTTCCTCCCGCTTGGTAGGAAATCAGTTATATCACCTAAAGTGATGCGGCATGTTTTCTACTGCATCCTTTCTATTTCTCCATCCCTATTACTTATGAAATGCATTATCTGTACAGAAACACTATCAACAGTCCCACGTGGACACGTCCCTAGGGAAGTTAATGAAAATACATCTGGCTTCTGGCCACAGTCCAGCAACAATTTGTAAAGTGCTTCATGACACGTTAGTGTTTCTAAGCTTAGAATATCCCTGTAAAGGGATTTTTTTTTTTATTTTCATAATTTGTTTATTATTATATGTTTATTTGGGGGCGGGGTGTTGAAATGCACTGATACAAAATTTTGATTTTTAAAATATTTTTTATTCATTAGTCAGAACTGGCTGCTCCGTGCAAAGCATTTCTAATCACTAGTAATAAATGCTAATAGTTATGTTCAGGCGTCGTGTAAGACCCAAGATATTTAGATACCTCTCTCTCTTGCTGTTTCTTTCTCAGCTTTTAAGGGGTGCCCAAAGGGTCTTTTGTCCTGTCGTGATCAGCCAAGCGTCTGTTGCTTTTAGGGAGGGAGATTAGTTGCTAGTCCTGCCAACTAATTTCCATACTAATCTCAGTTTGTTACTTCTCCTGGTCATTGGCAGATCCCAGGCACGAAAGCTGAATGTCTGTTATGAGTATGCATTTCTAATTGCACAGTTTGGATATGCCTGTGACTGTTGTCCAGACTCATGGAAAGCTGAACTGTTACTTGCATTGACTGGCCCTGAAATTGTCCAGGCTAGGGTGTCTTCATTTCCTCCCTATGCTAAAAGCCTGTCAAAGAAAATCTGTTAACATGCATAATCACTGAAGGTATTGAAGGCTTCTTCCTTTTAAATCGCATCTAAAATAAAATAAGCAGTTTTTCAGGGGAAAGGGGAGTTGTTCAAGTCCTTGAATTGTAAGCCAATACCTGCTGCATGGAGTTTATATCCTGAAGATAAATGAAAAGATATTTTTCAATCCTTTTTTTTCTCTTCTTTTCTCTGATGTCAGTGTTTCAAGGGTCTAGGGAGGTTTTTTGTTTTTGTTGTTGTTGTTGTTATTAACCTTTCTAAGCTGAAAGGAATTATCCTGGAAGGGCGATGTCATCTGAAAGTTTGTTAACTAGGCTGGCTAAAAGAGCCAGCGTTGCAAATCAGCATTTTCAGTTGACGGTGATGTCTCTGGAAGAAACTTGAAACACAGGAAATTCCTTAATTTGCTTTCTGAAGTAGGAGTCATTCTTTCAACAGTGGCTATCTATACAACGAGTAGCCACATAACTGGCAGGGAGGAGCTTGTTCATGATGACCCAGCTTTTCTTGAAGGAAATAAAATATATATTTTAATACTAATTTATAATCGTCTCATTTCTAACATATGATCTAAGAACTGTGTTTAACTGATTATAGAAATCAGAAATAAATACATAGGTTAGAGTCTTTAGCTGTAAAAGCCAGCCTTCAGAATCTCAGCAAAAGTCCAAAACTTAAACTTAACAGCAACTCTTTAAGGGGGGAAAAGATCTTGATTCCACAGGAAAGAGCTTCAGGCCAACATACTATACAGAACTTCTGTTTGTAACAGTCACTCTGCTTACCTATCCCTGTTTTGCCAGGAAGATTGGTTTTGCTTATATAAGTGCACATTTTGTCATGGATTTCAGTGTGAATTTACTAAGTGCTTGTATGCCTCACTCAACGATAACTTCACAAAAACAGCACAAAAACCCTGATGGGAATCTTCCATGTTGTGTGGCATAATGGTCTGGTGTCTCCTCTACGTAGACTCATGGCTTATGTTAAGAATTAATAGCAGCTGGAGGAAGTTTTAGAGAGGTTCGTATCAAAGCTGCTTTACTGACTGATGTCTTGGTCCTGCTGCAATGGGGATTTTTACCGTTCATTTCATATGGCCAAAGTCTCCCCTTACCCTTTGCATCTCTGTCCAGATGTTTTACTGACCACTCTCTTCTTCTCATGTTAGGGTATTATGGACAGCTTCAGACTTTCTGCCCTCCGCATTATGCTGACACTCAGAAGAACATACAGCATGGAGTACCTTGTAATATGGTTCCTCCTTTTGAAGACTGCGTAGCTCCCACTTCGGTGGGCCAGGCTGGGTCTGGTGTCTTCCATCGAACCTTTTCAGCTCATTCTGGTATTACAGGTAAATGACAGTTGTGGACTTTGTGGATGGTTGTGGACAGCTGGTGGACTTTGGCACTTCTGCTGCAGCTGTGAAGGTGACTGGGACCTGTCTGGCTGTTAGTTCCAGCTGAAAATGATAGACTAGGCCTTCCACAAAGAGCAGATGGTTTTCAGATATTCGTGGGGTGGTTGGCCTAGGGACCCAGCTGCAGTGGTCACTGTAACATCTGGCCTTTGGGCAGATGGTGCGCTGTTGTGGTTTTCTCCAGGCTCTAACTTTCCTGAAGGTCAGTCACCAGCTCAGTATCCCTTGAGCCTCATGAGACGTTTGTGCTGCCACTACAGTCTGCTGCAAATATTGTAGCAGGTACTGAGATGACTCTGGCTGTTGATTTTGCTTTATGCGTTTATGATTTTCCTTGGTGTTCGATTTTGTTTGCTCACATTTCCGTGACGAAAGCACACATTTTTCTGTGCACACTTAGTTTGCCTCTTCCTGTTTCAAGGAGCATAAGATACTTGCACGTGGCTTTGAAAAGGTGAAAATTACCTCTGTGCCGAGGATCAGCACAGCACAATGGGCGTATTCTTAGGGCCTAAGCAGAGATTAATAATTGATGCCTAAGTTTTCCGTTATCCTTCTGCACAAGATGAGTTCACTTAACGTGTATTGTGCTTTGAAATCTCTTCTACATCTCGATCCCTCAATAGTGCAATAAGAAGCCACTGCTCCTAGCACTTCTAAGACACTTCTACACAGGTATATAAAGATCTAATCCAAAAGATGGGAGATGAGCCTTTTTCAGCAAACAGTTATTCTTATGTTTGCACCCATTTTTTGTTGAAGTTAGGCATTTCTGTGCTATGATCCTATTTATGGCAAATGAATCCTACAGTATTTTGTTGTCTCTTATCATGTATTAAGTATGATGAAGTTCCATAACCAGGAACCAAGTTTAATTTAAAAACCATCGCAGTTGTAACAGTGGAACTGGTCCAGAACTGATGGGCAAAATGTTAGCTGTGATGAAACCTACTGTCTGAAACCTAGTTCAGACTTTACTCTCATAGGACTGAAATTCCTCCCTAGGTAAGTTCTGTAATTATTAATTTCACATGTATGTTGGCTTACTTGTTTGCCTGTTTGGTTCAAAGCTATATCCAGTTCTCTGCATAAGTGTTAAGCCGTTCTCCATAATGTACTTATCATGGTTAATTAAAAATTGCTGTATTTTTTCCAGTTTATGATTTTCCACCGGGGCCCACAGGTATCTTTGGTGATTCAACCTACGGCATGCCTGAGGACAGCAGTTTCTTACAGATCAGTGCAGTGGATCGTTGTCCCAGCCAACTTTCTTCTGTCTACACCGAAGGCTAATTCATTCCAACTTGCATTACAAGAACTTGATTCCATATCAACTTGCCCTTCTGATATTTCACTACCAATCTTTCTCTCCGTAAAACTGCCATGTATGTATGGGGATATGGGTGAATATACATACGTCCTGGAGAGCAAAACATGCAATCAGTGGGCATTCTTTATATACTCAAGAAATCAGCTAAGGAGAAGAACACTGGTAAAAAGAAAAGTTTGCCAAAATGTTAGCAATTGTTTCTGTTCTTCTGAACTACTGCACAGCAAATCTTGTTGTTGTTTCTTTTCCGTTTCTTAAAGGGAATTCAAAGATTGAATAAGAAAACCGCTTTTGGCTGTAATCCTTTCAAGCTAATTGATGGAATCATTGACGAATACAGCTTTAGAAAATCTCTTTTAAAAAAAAAAAAAAGAAAGAAAGAAAGAAAAGAAAGAAGTAAAACTGGGGCATACTACCAACGTTTCAAAGGCGCACGGCTTTTTGCACAACCAGTTTGCATGTGGTGCTTCCAAAGTTAAACACACAGCAGCATGAAAAAGGGAAAGCAATTAGATATACGTCCTGGCACTACACATTGGAGGTATTGTTGTGGCTTCTTTTTAGAGCAAAAAATCACTCGTACTGATTTCTTATAGTCTTTCCCTCTGTATTTTACGCCATATGCAATGGCCACTACAGTTTTTCCAATATTCCTTCTGATCCAATACTTTATGCAATGAATTGGAAGGATTTAAATGCACTAAATAAGAAGGTACTTGGACTTCCTCTATATTTAGCATTGCTGCTAGATAAATATGTTTTAACTTTCTGTTATTTTTTAACTAGATGATTGTAGAATTTTATTGCTATATCTGCTGTAGAAAATTTTAAAATACTCTGCAGAAAGATTTATTTCCTTAAAATCCATAGCTTTCTTTTAAAAGCAACCTGTACTGATTCAACTAAACTTTTGCTGACCTTAATACTTTCATTTCCAAAGCATATTTCCATTAAGAACAATTACCCTTAAGTTTGCTGATGTTGCCTATGGTAATTTAGAGGTGTAAAACCAAACTATTTTGGGGATTTATTTACTCAGTCTCAGGCTCTGGTCCTCGAGTCTATTCCAAGGTGGAAGGAAATGAGGTTGCCCATATTCAAAGCCACAGAGATATGAGTTAAAAACAGTATTTTGCAGTGGACATGTCGTCACTGTGATCCCGTATAGCTGGGAAGCAACTCTTACCTTATTTAAGATTACCTTTTTAGGTTTTTTATCCACTTGGGAGACTTATTACTGTATGATGTGTATATTAATACTCATGACCAGACTGAATATGAAGGACAAAGATCCAAAGATTCTTATTTGCAGTTTAGACCATAACTATGCTACAGAAATCACTAGTCTAGAAAGGTGAATTTAAAAAAATGCTTATACCAACATTTGCTTATGCTGGGGAGCTTTTGTGATTTATTGAATGCAATATGGGCCAAATTCCTAATTTGCCATTTTTTTTGCATAGATAAATATGTGTCCAGATGTTTAGAGACACTGGTAATCCTCTGAGGGTTGTAGTCATGAATTGTGTTCTTATATACAAGCATATGTGCATATATGTTTAATGAAGAGATTTTTAATCCAATCAATGCAAAGTATATGTTAATAATTCATGTACCTAAATCATGTACAGGAAGCAGTAATGGTATGGCTTAAATACAGGAGATGTTGTACAAAATCCTTCCCCCTTTTATTCTGTTTCTCATATCATGAGGGAATGTCTCCCTCAGCTTCAGCTCACGTTAATAAGTCTGGTTGTTACCATATGTGGTTTGCACGGGGGTAAATGACATTCAACTGTCATGCACTCAGTAATGTTACATACACAGCAAAAATGACAATCCATTTACTTTAGATCTGGCCTGTTACATTAACAGTGAGTTTTAGCTTTTTAATAAAGCTGTAATTTTGTGCTGTCTTAAGCCCATTCTATGATTACTGCGCAAACTTAACTTTGTTCAGCAGGCGTTATTAGAAATGCTTAAAATTTTTAATTTCAGATGTGTAGGGCTATGTTTTGTTCCACAGAAGTCAGTAAGAGCAGAATCAAGCCCAACATGTACATTTTTATGTATATGTACTTCACACACACACACACACACACACACACACACGCATATGCATACATATATATTATAAAATAATTACATTCTCCTAACTGCAGCTCAGTGATGATTATCCAGAATTTGTCAGTTGCTGCCTGTGAAGTTGAAATACAGCTGCTGAATTCAGATCTGTACCACCCCAACCTTTGAATCCTCTGAAATGTTTCTTCTAATATGTGAATGTACAAGCTACCTAGTAGAGAGGGGCTTATAAGTCATGAAAGATCCTGATCACAGGGAGAGAGGACAGAAGATAGATAGAATTCAAAAAGCGTATTCATAACTTTTGGTTTCATCAGTTGCATTTGAAAAAGAGAAGTTTTGCAACTGATTCATTCATTCATGTATGTGTATATATATATGTATATATGTATGCATAATTATATATATAAAATACATGAAATGATATATTTACAGTTCATAGCTTTACAATGAGACTTATTTTAAAAAGAGTGAGCTAGAGTCGTCACGTTAAGCACATGAGAGTGGATACCAGACTGTGAAAAGGTACACTTTTGTTTACTTCCACATCAGAGAGAAAGTGGATTCTTCATGATTATTTCATTATTGTTTTTATGGTCAGACTGACTTGGGGGATAAGCTTACATCATTTATATACAAAAAAAAAAAAATTTATCTGACGTATTTTGGGTATTTAGATAGGGAATAGTGTTTGCCACATGTTACAGGGAAAGAAGGTGCTTGTGAAAATACAAACCATAATGCCAGTTACTGAATTATATGCAAATGCATGTGCCTCAGTGATTTTTGTGTTATTGTTCTAGATGCTGGATAATGTTAACTTTCTAAGGGGATTCCTATCTAAGAGATGAAGTTATTTTAGACTACGGACATTAAACAATATTCTAATGAACTTATTTACAATCAATCATTCTTTTATACAGTTCTCTGTTTTCAGACTCAGATAGTGTATTTGCATCTGCATTAGGAATGGGTCTACACTGGAGTTTAAAACACAGCTTTAAATAGCGCATATGTGCAAGTGAGAGTGTGTATGTGTGGCGCTTTCTCTCTCTCTCTCTGTGTACCTATATAGATATATGTGTGTATATACATGTGTATATGTGTATGTGTATATATCTATATATGTACACACACATATATATGGGCACTATGGTTTACTCATAATGATTGTTAAAGTATTGCAGTGCTAAGGCCACCTGTCACATTGTATTGTATTTTCAACTTTCCTTGAAAAGGTGTGAATGATTATGAAAACTACATTTTAATTGTTTATTCCCAGTTTTCCCTGTGGAATTTTATGTTTTTTAAAGAGCACTTTTTGTTGTTCATGTGAATTTTTTTTAATATTACTAGGAACAGATGAAGCAAAAGAAAAAGCCCACATTTTAAAATAAACTGGGTGGGTTTTTATTTAAAAAAACAATCCCTGTATTCTGTACAGAAAGCACAGCATCTTGTGTAATGTTTTTTACATAAAGCACTTTGGTGAGGAAAGGAAGTAGAAGTATGTTTTCCATAAACCTTACAGACTTTTGTACATATTTATACGTGCTTACATATATAGATTTGACCTCCATTTGCTGTTCTGTATATCCAGCTGATATTTGCTGTAGAGGCTCATCTGTTGCATACCGTGAGACATAAATTTTCAGAAGAATTAGTCACACTTTTTCTCCATTATTAATATGTATAGTTTTATGATTTGTTACAGTTATGTTTCATGTAATGGTAAGTTATTTTTTGTCCTGTTTCGTGAAGTCCTTTTTTATGTAAAATGTAAAATGAAGGGTGTGTTTGCATGGTACAAAATAAAACTGGAAATTTATAACTCAATGGCATGAGTAGTAGAACGTCTTATTGTGAGACTCCTTGGAAGAAAACTGCTCCAGCCATTGTTCTTCGCCATAAAACTTCTAGTATTTGTGTGGGTTAGTATAATTAGAAACAAATAGGAACAAAAATCTCAGAGATTTCTTCTAAAAAGCCATCTTGCTTGGGTCAGGGTGTTAAAACTGGATTTAATTAAAGATACAGTGAGGCTAGAGATCTGTAGAGACAAACGAATGCCTCAGTGTGTGTTTACACTGGCTGGAGGCACAAATAAAAGCAGAACATTTAAATAACTTTTTTTATGTTATGATAATTTTTTTGGTTTCTTTCTTCATGTGGTTCTCCAATCAAACATGTAAAGGGATTTTGTGTTCTCTTTCTGGTGACTTCATTGTTTCTAACACACTCTAGCAATTAAGAAATTACCTCAGAGCATCTCTAATTTAAGGAAAAGAGTGTCTGTTTTCACTCTGTTGAAAGGCAAAATACCTGGCAAAAGCCTGAGACAGAAGTCAAAGTGTACCAATGCCTATTCTGCTTAAAACACATCCTGGGGGTCCAGGATGCTTAGGAAATAAGAGGTTATCTCTTACTACACCCCTAAAACATAATGCGTGGACTAGAAATCGCAGCAGAAAATGCAAACTAATTAATTAGCCTGGTGTAAATACAACTTTTTTTACAGAAGAATGAAGATGTCTGGACAGCAAAAGATACGAAGAAAAATTGCCAAAAATTAAAAAAGAAAAAAGTATTGCGTTATATTTATGCACAAATCTTTGAAAAGAATGGGTCAGGCTGATTCTACTGTAAAATTATTAGCAAAGCTAATAACTAGCTGCCTTAGTCAGCTGAGAACAGAATCAAAACTGATATGCCAAGTTTGCTGGCTGGCATGCAGGTGAATTTGCGGGAGCTTTACCAGAAACGAACCTCACCCCACGCATTCTCCTTTACACTGCCTCATAATTTGATACAGGAAACTTGCTAAATAGTTTAGCAAATACAGGCAGTGAGTGCTGGAAGCCACCGTGAAGAACTGAAATTTACTGAATTGCAGGTGTTTCAGAATTCGGTTTATCTTTTCAGCAGAAAAAGAGCCCTTGACATACTGAGGCATACCCAGTTCCCTGTGCAATGGTGAGTAGAGTAGGCTGAAATACTTAGGAGCTACGTGCGTTTCTCTGGTTCGGGTGTCAGAGCTGGATTACAGTTTTTCACGGTGTGCTGCAGCCCCTCCACCGGCAAAATGGTGAGGTAGAGTAGAGAAATCACGTGACAGCTGTATTCCCCCAGGTGACATCATTTCTAAATGAAAATGTCTGAACTTTTTGTCCCATCAAGCACTGATGCTTTTTTTCCTAATTCAAAACAAAACCCCGTTTTGAAACATCAGAATTTCTCACAAGATGATAGAATACTGAGTTTTATCCCTCCAAAATCATCAAATTCACTTTGAATTACCTTTTGCACAAACTAAATTTTAAACTCTGGTCTATAAAAAATATAAATAAACCATAAATAAGCTTCCTCCAGAAGTAGCTTAAAAAAGTTTCTCCTGTAGAAATAGGCAATCTTGAAGAGGATAATTTCTCATGACCATGTATACCCCCTCACTGCAATACATAACTTAGAGTGATAAAATTAGGTCTGCAGAATGAAAAATGCTTGTTTTTAAGGTTGCTATGTCTCCTTCATAATTCTTACTTTATATTTTGCCTCTGTCTTCCTTAAATCTATTACGTTCTCATTTAAAAGCTGGGTATGAAAAATCATTGTACCACATCTTCCCATGCCATTTATAGATTTACAGCCAAAGTAAATTTACCCGGCAGTCAGTATCATTAATGATTCACAAATGAGATGGGCTCTTTCAGTGAACTGTAACAAAAGCGCCTTTCTATGTTTCTAGTTAAAAGTTCAAACATATCTTCACTATAACTAGAAAATACTAACCTCATGCATGGTTGCAACTGGGTACACAGGATAAAGCATTACAAGTACATCTATGTAGACAGAAGAAAGTGTAACTATTTCCTCAATATTATGAATTTTTCCCTTTGACAAATAACGTGTTTGAACCTGCCAATCAGTGGGCATGCTTAGGGCTTGAGTACACAGGTAAATTGTCTGACTTCTGCTATTCCAGGAATGAGCACAGTGAGACTGATTAAGCTGATGGACATCAAGGTGACCTGGCTACCTCACTCCCTTAAACCGCTCTAAAAATCCCAGCATAAATCTGCTGGAAAGTAAAGCAAAACGAAACAAAAGTTTCTGCTAGAGCTATTGCTGACAGAGTTACAACCTCAGCAACAAGTCTGAAAGTACCGTGGTTTCACTTGTTAGCCCACCTCTCCACGCAGTTTTAGCTCTGCCATCGCTATCTGTGGTTGGAGGGAGGGGAAGAATACTTTGTTTTAAGGAAAGATAAATAAGTAGTCCCTGAGTGATGATTCTAGGCGAAAGTAAAAGTAGCAATATTGGATCAGTTTACCCTTCACAGAAGTGGGAACAGAGTTGGATGGCAACATGACAGCAATAAACCTTTCCTAGCGTAAGCTGAGTTAGTTAAGATGTTTCAGTTTGACTTTTTCCCAATGAGGAGTCAAAACATTTCTGCAAAACTGAGATTTTTACTCTGGAAACTTTCAATATACAGAAGCTGCGTTCAGTCATACACATATGCTTCAGCTCCTCTTTACAGGCCAAAGAAAGGCTGTCGGGTAAAAGTTGTCTAGTTTCAAAGCCAATTTGCTCTTCGGCTGCTCCGTTAAGACAATTAACAAAAGCAGGGTGGCAATTTTATGATTTAGATGCTTATTGCATAGAAACAGTATTAAAATGATTAAACTCATTTTAAGGACCCCAATGAATCACTACCTGAAAAATACCACTAGTGTTTTACCACCATAGCTGCTCGCCTCTCCCCAAGGATGACGCTTGCCCTTCCGGGCATCCCACCACGCAAAGCATCATCAGGAAGCCCACCAGCCAGGGTTTTGCACCGGACTGAGGAGAGTAGTGGTTATTTCAAAGCCAAAGCTACTTGTGGCAAACCAGAGAACAGATGTAATTCTAGCCAGTTGAGCTGGGGAAAAACTGAAGGAGAGATCTAGTATCTGCAGGGCACATGGTGTCGAGTGAATTCCCACAGTACATTTGAATATTTATTTATTGCTACTAGTGTTTATCTGCTTCAAGATATTATGTTATGCTAAGGTCTGTGCAAAGAAAGGACGGGGGGGAAAAAAGCCTTTTCCATAGCATCTTTCCTCTTCTTGTCACTTTGGAAGTCTTCCTATGGTAACATGCCACACTCAGTTCTTCGCCAGTTGTGTTCATTCTGAGTTTCTTAGTCTAGATTTGCATGGTAAAATCTAACTTATGAAAGTGACTAAGCACACTAAACTTTTTACCTGTTTTGAGGCTGCATAAATGTGAATGAGGGCAGGTTTCCCCCACCACCACTCCCCACTTGCAGGAAAATGTAAGTAGGGTAACTTAAGTTTCCTTATGTTTTATGCCCTAATTGGAAATCATACTCAGGTCTAAATTTGGACTGAAATTTGGAGTTTAACCTAAAATTAAAAAAAAAAGACATATTTTCAGCTGCTTTTTGCCAGTTTTGCTCAAAGCATACCATACCTAAATCCCCAAAAAGCAGAAACGCAATTTCTATCCAATTACTTTATAAAGTTTAAGTTAATTGCAGAATAAGGCTCAAAGTGCTGTTAGACATCGTGAACAGGATGAGTATTATCAGGCTGCTTTTCCCAACACTCCTTGGGAAACAATGATCCTATGATTTTCAAAAATACATCTTCTTTCTTGTTTACCGTGTGGAGTACGTTGTATCATGGGAGGCATCCTCTGGTGAGGAAGCAGTAGGTTGCAAACACATATGCATTTAAAGAATCAAAGGGTAAAAGAGATGATAGATAGATAACCTAGTAATGAATATATAGCCAGTATGAAAGGATTTTAATAACTAAGTTTCAATTGCAAACATAAGTATAATTATTTTAAACAAGCAACAACAGACGATTGAAAAGTAATTTGGAACGTTGGTTCAAGAGACTCCTGAACATAATTTTTCTCAGGAAAAAAGAAAAGGTGAATCAAAGATTAAAAACAGTCATAATACAACATACCTGTGTAAATACACGTACATAGACACAGGAAGGACAGGTAGGAATTCATTTTTGCTTCTTCCTTCCACAGGCCTTCTTCCTTCTCAAGCTTCTTTCCCAACACAATAGGAGAACATATCAGCAACCTTAATTTGGAGTTGTAATTGCCACCAACATTCATAAGAATACTAGGTAGTTTCACTCCAGGGCAAGCCATGTTTGCAGGGCAAACATCATTTAAGACAGAAACCACTCCTGACTAGAATATGTTGGCTGCTTGTGATCTGTTTTCCTCCTGGACATTGCTCCAATGTTTTCCTAAAGCCTTAAGCAGATTCTCCATATGCATCCTTTAACAGCAAGCTATCATGGGTACAAAGTACTACCCGTTTGGCAAGGCAGAGTTGCACATCCACTTTTCCCTGGCATAACTGACTGCAGAGTATACTGCCAAGGAGAGTGGGTTCCTATTCCCTTTTTCCTCCCTTTTTGGAGAGTGCCTTGAGCTGGTACCAGGTATGTGGCCTTCCTGGACACTGCCCTGGCGGTTCGTGAATATCCGGAGATTCACTATTGAGTTCTCTGTACGTGGAGAGTAGACAAAATCTCACCCAAAAATCAGGAGGAACCTCTAAGGTTTTCCTTTTTTCCAGCTGGTTGTTTTGTTGTTGTTACTGTGGTTGTTTTGCTGGAGTGGGAGACAAAATTGCAGGTTTTCCTGCTCATTGTAACATAAAAATGTTGACATTAATTCAGGTCCCCTTCGCACTAAAATAAACCAGCAGTAATTCTACTAAAATCAATGTAAAGACAGCACAGTATAAGCATGAATACCCAGTCAGTCCTATTAAGTGCCACAGCAAAAGCTCATCTAAATTGTGTGTAAATAATATTTGGTTTTGGGTGGAAAGGAGAAGAAAAGGTGAGTATTCTACTCTTTTGTCTCTTAAGGCTGCTGCCTGCTAGAGTATGTGTGGGACTGTAAAATGTTGGATTTGATTCTATAACCTTACCTCATCCTGCAGGCATTTAACAAAAGCAGCATTACTGAATGCTGAGTTCCAACTAATTATCAGGAGTGAGTGAGAGAAAAAGGGGACAGAGAACATCTGACGTGATGCCATGTTAATAATTCACCCAGACGTCTAGGATAACATAAGCTCTCTGTGCACCAGCATTTCATGAGCTCCTGCAATAGGCTTCTATTTCTCAGCGAGGATGTGAAGCTCTTGATGAAAGATGACAGCAAGTAACTGTTGTAAAAAAAGTGTCACCTGTTTGTACATCGTTTAACCTGAATAAGCATGTAAGTCCCAGCTGCTGCAAGGTTATATTCAAGAGGGAAGTGATCCGGAGGTTCTTTGCTTCACTGAGTCTCCTTAGAGCCTCCAGTAATCAAACCTGGAAATCACAACTGGGAATTCCAGACATGCCTCTTTGCCCAGGGACAACATGTAGCAGGGTGCAAGGGCGCTCCAGAAACAACAGGGTGGAAAAATGATGCCATACTGCATCTCGCTGGAAGGTCACATTTTTAGTGAATTCTTTACATAGCTTAAATGCAATAGCCCCTGAAAATATATGCATGCCACAGCTGGAAAAAAAGTTTGAAAAGTAGAATTTAATTATGCTCCAGACCAGATTCAGAGCAAAGACGACTTCCATTAGTGAGTCTGCATTTGCTAACGGAGGATATGCTTGCAAGACACGTTACCCAATTATCTTCTGAACTTAGGGTCTTTATACAAGGTCACCAGCGCCAAGCCGCTCTAAAAGTGGTATACCCACCTTTTAAGGGGGAGAGGCTGCCGCTTCCTCCCTTTGGAAGCAGTGGAGATGGCAACAAGAAGGGAGTTGGCCCCGAAGACGATATAAAGTGGAATTTTAGTGAGTTTAAGCTACTGCCAGACGAGGGCAGTAGCGTCTCATAATCACGGAGTAGTATTATGAGCATGGTATGGAGCAAGGGTGGATTAATCCTTTGTTACTTTCTTTGATTTGTACTTATTTTGTGCATTTTAACTCTGCAGAGTAACATTAGCACAACTCACACTCGTGTAGTCCATATCATTGACGCCTATGCGATATTCATTGTTGGCAAGGACAACATTGCTAGCTCCCGAAAGAGGAATAGAAATAAATTGTATTTTTACTATAATTGTGTGTGTCCTAAGGGGGATAATAGTTTTTTAAAACATTATTGGGAATGTCAGCAACAGCCTTTATATGCCTTTTTGAACTCCAAGCACTCCTTTTTTCTGAAAAACAATTACACAACAATAGCAACAGCAACAAAGACAACAAAAGTCTCCTCTGAGCTGATAGTGGCCACTGCCTTGTTTCAATAACATCCTATAAACTCAAAGTGGTATTAGCTACAGGCATGACTCCAGCAGCAGATGAACTGCAAGCATTTGTTGCTACTATTCAAGGGGTTTTTTCACTTTATATAGAGACAGAAAAAAAGATGCACACAACAACAAAACAAGCCTTGAGGCCCCTTTTTATTTCAGCACAACAGCCTCGGGCGACACACGTGGCAATTGCACAAGACATGGAGAAATACACTAATCATGGAGAAATACACTAATTCTTAAAAAATCTAGTCTTACGCCAAAGCAAATAACCTTGCTGAGTCACAGGATTCCAAGAAGCGGTGTCATCATTCCTGAAAATGTTTATGTGCCTCACGTAATTGGCATGTGATCTTTCCCAAATTTGCTGACCCTCTCAATCCTGAATACAGCTCAGCAATGCCAATTTTGTTTACCGCCTACCCTCTTTCACATCTGAGGGCCCTGATTTAGATCTCACTCACCCTAGGTTGAGAGTGGTGTCATTCTATTTGTTTTCACAGAATTACTTCTGTGCTTATACAGGGAAGAGTTAGACTGCTCTTAAAATCATGCTTGTGTTTAACAAAGTTATTGCATGCTTTATTAATGTTTGAAAGGTTGCACTGATAACAAGCTTAGGAAACTTAATAAGGTACTTACATGTATTGATAGATTGAAACGTTAGTTTTCTTCTCTAGAAAAGGGAATCCAGTATGAGGAAAACTACAGTCAAAGTTTAGAAGACCTTTTAAAAACAACTCACAGGACTTTTCGCTGCTCTTTTAAGGTGGGACTGATCACTTTTTCAGTTGGTTTATGAGAACGAAATCGTTCGGTAGCAGCTTCTTTGAAGCCGCTGGAGCAAGTCTGGTAAAAATCTGTATTAGCAGAATCAGAACCAGACACTCAGCCTCGGAATTCCACTCTGCTGGAAAATGGGTGCAGATCAGCTCCTTTGGAGACCACGGACTAAGAAGAATATTCCTTTTGTCCTATAAAAATATTGGGATGAGTTTTGGTTTTTAAGACGGCTGCTAGTATTCGTTCTCTCCTCTGAGGATCGCCCACGTGACCATGCCGTGTAATCTGTGCTGGGTCCTCCCTAGAGAGCTCCAGCTGTCCACCCTCGGCTACGAGTCTGAACCAAACCTGCTGCCCACGTGCGTGGCAGCAGAAAGCCATCTGAAAGTGAGTGATTTATCACTGAGTGCTCTTAAAAAGTGAGATGGAGTGGGAATAAAATGGGTTAATTTCCATGCTGGAACTATGGCCACGCCCGCGGACTAAGGTGATTATATGATCCTAAATTTAGCTGAGGAGGAGGAGTGCGCACAAAAGTACTCATAGGTGGGAATTTCTTCTTAGAGATAAGGACAGCTCTAATGGCCTCTTTTGAAAAAAGCGCATTCCTAGTTAGATACCCTACCTTATATTTCTTCTCATATGTTACATCAATGGAAACAGGCCTCTAAAGTAAAAAGGAGAAGAAAGCTTGATGACACAATATAGTTAGTGGCTAATCATTAATCTCATTTTGCTCTCTTTGTATGACAATAATGTTATCTTTAGCGAATTTTCTTGGAAATGATGAGAGAAACTAGTTGCACAGAACAATCCCATCTCATCTTTGTCTACTATCCATTAATTGTTAACTATTTAAGTTAAATGGTTTGAAGGTGTGTATCTCAAATCTGAGGTGTTCTTATGGTACTAAAATCTCCACAACAGTCTGAAACAGAAGGATATGACTGTTGAAATCACAGTGAGTTTGTGTAATAATGGATCTTTGATCAAACTTTTATCCTCTTTTGCCTTTCTCTCAAGCCTTTCACCATCTGGTCTTGGTGAATGCATTTGTGAATGCCAGATTGCTCAATTTCCTTGTGAGGAGAAGAAAAAAAAAAAAAAGATTTAGAAAGCAAACAAGCTCCATCACTTTTGAGGAGACAGCACAAGGAAGAAGATAAAAAATATTAATATTGAGATTGATTAATGGTTTAAATTCCTAAACAATTTAGTTTTGGAATATATCTAAATATTTTTAAAATCCCCTTCCAGTGTCCCATTTGAAGAATTTTTTACTTAATGCCAGAAGATTACAACAAACTGATGGTTACTCAAGAAGCAAAATACTAATCCATGAAAAAGATACTACCATTTTTAGTTGACGGCTGACGTTACATAGTAAAAGGGATAACTAAAAAAAAAAATAAAGCCTTTATATAACACAGATTTATTTATGTTTTTCCAGTAAGGTTTTCTGATACAATTTTATGCCTTGCAGGGTCGCAGTGCCCCATGGTTTGATCTATGGTCAAGATGCCAAAACCTACAGGGGCAGATCAGAGTTTATTGTGTGAAGAGCTTCAGAAGAAAGATAAGCTGCCTTAAAACTGTTAGAGGTATTTTTACTATTTTGTTGCATGTTGAAAACATCTAGCTTTCCTTTAAAAATAGAACAAACCATCAGTATTAAAATTACATCAACTCACAGATAAAGCACCATCATAACTACACTTTTCACCATTCACATTCTTGTCTGGTTTAAAACTGGCGTTATGCCTCGTGCTCATGGGGCGAAGAAGCAAATGTAGTTCCCATCCACACCGGGTGCTGCAGAGCCCACGGTGTTGGCAGCATGCTCCACTGCAGGCACCAGGACCCCGGTCTCTGCGCACTATAACTCGGCAGCAGCGATGCTCCTTCCCCTTCCAGGTAATAAGATGTTAGGAGGTTTTTGAGGCAAGCAGGTAGCTTCCACCTGGTGATCGCCTTCACTAGTTTGGATCCTGATTGCTGTCTGCTGACCATAGCTAAAAAGTGTTACTTTTTAATTCCATTCTCCAGAAGGTCCAGTTTACTTTCCTTTTCATGCTCATTGCTCAGGGATGCTCAGGCAACTTAACCTGAGCCTTTTCTACAATGGCAGAGCTTTTTTATCTGTGGCTTTTTTTTTTCCTCTTTACTCACTGAGCTGAAATCCTTCTGGAGGCATGTTGGCATATCAGTGACCAATGGATCATATTCCCGGGGAGCCAGAGAGATTACTGAAAGATTTGGCTGTGAAGAGTTTATTAACTCAGAGAGCTTTGAACGGGCAAGTTTGCACTATCATTACCACAACAACAAAATCTGGAAAAACCTTGAAGAAGAGATGAGCAGAGATTTTCCAAGAGATGGCAACATATATATATATATGTATATGTATATATAAAAGAAAGAAATAGAACAAAACAAAGCCATCATCCCCTCTGGCAAAGAAGGATCGATTAACATTCAGATCAAACCAGAACATTGTCTCGAGTCACAAAGAAGTGAAAAACAGAATTAGAAAGCTAAAATATGGAAAAGCTGAAGGTAAAGATCAAGATGAAGATTTAGGGAACTGCTGAGAGATTTTAACAATGAGAAGAACAGGAAAATCACTTGTCTTACAAGTACAGGGCCAGGAAAGCTCTTTAGAAGAGCTGTACAATGCTGCTACAATATAAGCAATTGGAGAAATTGATAAGCCATCATAAACCTTTCTTTCAGGGATAGGCAAAGAACGCTTCGGTATTATTTAAAGCAGAATAAAGAAAGTAGCTGAAGTGAAGAGCAGGCTTGATTTTTGACCCAGAAGATCTTTCTCCTAGCAATATTAATAGCTGAGAGAGTATAATAGCAAAAATAACTCACTGTAGACATTGTGGATTTGAAGAAAGCATTTGAAAGCCTTTATGAAGTATCTGAACATCATATTCCTAGAACATCGTGAAATGTTATTACACGCTAGCAAAACCAATAGACAATGTCAAGGCTTTACATCCAGTTGCAGTAGGTACTGTTTAAGTAAATACAATGAGCAAATGCTTCAGTGTAGGATTTGGTGTCAAACTTCCAGTCTTTCCTTTCTATATTTCACACTGCCCTTGAATTTTTTATAGAAAAATGCCGAGATAGAATTAACACAAACAGTGCCTGGCATTGTAACACCACATTAGAATATTTGAGTTTGTTGGTTAACAGCTCTTTTAAACATAGACTCCATCATCTGGCAAGCAAATAACAGAGAAAAGTGCAGCGCTGCAAATGGCAGAACTAGTAATTATGAAAAAAAAAAAAGTAAATCTAACCGAAACCCCAGCAGATTCTAACTCAAGCACTATTTAGAAGGAAAAGAAATAAGATTTCCTTATCTTAACAGTAAGCTCTCAGGTAAACAGGATATTTGGGGAAGAATAATAGCACAACTTGGAAAAGTACCAGTTGCATTCACTAGCTTAAATTACAAATTAATGAATACAATACTAATCTTTAACTCTAAATGTATTTCTACCTTGGAAATCAACTCAAGGCGCAGACAGGTGTCTAAATGCTTTTGAAAGCAAATACTTTAGAAAAATTGTGTTAAACACATTATGAAAACCCAAAATTTGATAGGGTTCAGCAACATCTTATACTCAAATTTATCTAGAAACGAAGGCAGAGGTACATGCTGTATGCAAAAAATGTATTGTTGCATGTTTGCCTGGTAATGGAGCCAGCTGAAGAAATTCCATTACTGTATGGCACTTAATGAGGGAAAATATAAGGGATTTTAGAGTTAAAGACATGCAAAAGATACACAGATGGCAGAACCCAAATTTAGATCACCAAAATTTTTTTCACACTCTCCCTTTCTTTGCAATGTAAGAAGAAGCTTTAAAACCAAAGTTAAGGATTCTTAATGCATAGTATGCGCATAGGGCACAAGTGCTTCAGAGAGCCTTATGAACCTCTCTGCAAACAAAATAGAAGCAAAAACACGGGAGGGTTTTTCTGTAAAAGTCAGTAAAGACTGTGATTTGAATGACTACTTTCTGTTGTGCCACAGAACTTATTGTAGTGCTATTACTTGCTACTGGCAAGTAATTTTGTCTGTTTTGCCCTCCTACAATCTTTAAAAGGTTTGGCCCTAGCATATGTGTCCATACCTCGTCTATTCATTTACAGGAAAAATAGTCGATTGAGTTTATCATTTTTTAAAGTAAATTTACTTACACTTAGGATGAATCTAGCTTCTGCATCTGTCCAAAGAAAACCCTGCAAATATTGATCTTCTCAACTTGTCTGCATAGAGTTACAGCAATTAATTTAGCCTGTTTTACTGCACTTACTATATTGCTTCACCTGATTAAAAAAAAAAAAAAAAAAAGACAAGTAAAAATGATTAATTTTAAGCCAGAAGTTTTCTAAGGGCAATCAAGGGAAAAAAACCAGTCTTAAAATCAGTGTACTAATTAGTTTCTAAATGGACCTCCAACTAAGAAAGCTATAACACCTTTATTAAACAAAGCAAACAAATAAAGCATCTGAATATGTCCTGATTCCTTCAGCAGCAGTGTGTCATAGCACTGTTCTTTCTGCAGAGCAGTTTTAGTTGTAGTGTTGCTCCTCTGCACCACTACAAAGTGTCCTGAGACACTGGCTTAGCCAAGGAGAGTCATTTTAACCAAAGCACCTGTTATGTGCATTACTATCATACTTTTCATCCACCCCCATTTTTCTGCTCCAGTGCAGAAACTTTTTGTATTGCAGATAATGCACAGAGAATATCCTAATATACACATTTATATGCATGCTCAACTCTTAAAACAGTTTTCTCAGTAGATGGAAGAAAGAAATTAATATTGAATGCGTCTATTCCAAAGACAGCAAGGGATGGGAAGCCCCCAAATCCCAAGCATCCTAATGCCTCAAATTGTCATCTTCAATGTAATTGCACTCCAGATCTAAGGGATAATTTGAAACACTAAACACAATGCCTACAACATATGTCGTTGTAGCAATGAAGCAGGTAAAGAAAAAAAGAAAATGACAACACTGATACCTTTTTGGAGATGAGAGGCTACTAAAGCCACACTGAACTGCCTGTCCAAAAAAAAAAAAAAGATTTTAAAAAGCACATGAGAAGGGAAGATTTAACTGAAAATAATTAACAAGAATGCAAGAATGTTGTACAGCAGGATTTGGGTAGAGTGGTTTTAATCATTCAGCGTGTTCACCTGATTCTAATAAATGTTTTCCCATGATAGGTGTGTGAAAGAATTTAATTTAAGCCTTCTAGGTTGTAGAGAAGAAGAAGCCGGAGAGCATAAGCCAAGTTTGACAGCCATATCTCTCAAATGTTATAGTACAGCTTTAGTTTTGCCAGAGACCAGGACTGTGGTAAACTCAGTGAGCCTGGTTCTGCGGCACGGCACACATGTACATCTGCTTGGAGTCTGAGGAAATTCTTCGTGTGTAAAGACTTGCAGGCTGAGATCTGAACTGTGTGCAGATCCACCAATAGCTTGTGGCCTTCTCCCTCACCCCCAGTAAACACCTTCCACTGAAAATATTTATCTGTTTGCTTTTTTTTTTTTTTGCAAAATCATTATTAGACATAATAGCGTGAATCAATTATGTAAACCCTAGAACAGACAAAATTCCAAAAAAAAAAATTTATAAATAATGACTTTTCATACCTGAGCTGAGCAAGGCTTTCTTACAAAAGCCAGGGCTAGCAGAGTTTTCAAATATCTAATTGCTGTCGTTTTTCCTCTAGAGGCAAAATTACTTTGGAAGCATATGAGGAGTATTGACACCACTTGAGCTTTCTGCTCTATGTTGCCAGGTAACTATTCTGAGATATGTGACAGAAAACTAGGTAAAAAGATGCTGGCAAAATAATTTTTCCTGGGTGCAGTTCTGGAGTGTTCTGGCAATCTTGTCTCAGGGATTTTATGGAAGATATGTTAACTTACAAAGCTCCCATCATCTATGAATAGCATCAGAGAAGGTGACCATCGACTCTGGACCACCAAAGGCATTAAAAGTACATTAATTACTGTTTTCCTGCTTGGGATGAAAAGGCTGCATTGCTGCCATTTGTGAAGCGTAAATGGGGAATTCTGAGCAAGTAAAGGTCAGAACAGATCAGGAAAATTAATGGGAAACTCTTAGGGCTTTCTTTAGTGTATTTCCTGGTAGCTGCGCAATCACATATACTGTGTTGCTGAACCCTTTCTGTTCACATCTCTGCTGTTGAACGTATTTCTTACAAAGATAGACGAAATGAGTATCTGGCTAGCTCTGCTCTCACTTGGTCCTTAAAACGGTGCCAGCACGTAAACTGTTCGTGACATAGGAGCTCCTGAGAGTTTCTGAGATACTGGATTAGTCAGCAAAGGAGAGACCCAAGGTTAGATGTTGACTGTGCCTTAAACTGCACACACTTAAAAATGGTTTAAAATTGCAAAATAATGAGGGTAGGTATGTTAAGACCTCTTTTGACTTTATTGTTATGCAGTATGGAGCAGGTTTTTCTGCTTGGTGCTTTTTTTTTTCTTTTTTGCTTACTGGAGAGAAGAGAAAGAAAAACCTTGCTTAGCGCCGGCAAAACTAAGCTAAAGCCTCACCTCAGTTCCTTGGAGAAGACAAATTTTGTGCAGTCCCATTGGCTATCCAAACTATGAGAAGCCTGCGAATGGTCAGTGCAGATAGAATTTGTAAAGAATTTAGCAGCCAAATAAGTCTAGTGGGAATGTATATGCACAGAGCCTGCTTTGCTAAAACTTATGACTTGATGGCTCGGGGTTGAATTTTTCAAGCACCAGGTTTTTGACATCATTTACCAAATTTAGAATTCTTCCTCCAAGAGAATGCAGGACCAAAGCTTCTCGCAGAAATAATGGGGAATGTTTTAATTATTATTTTTATTCTAGGTAAAACAGTACATTTTCCCTTAATGCTATTCTTGCATTATTCTTGCAAATGCCAGTTTCAGCTTTTTTTTATGCAGCTCAGCTTTATGTGCAACAGCAATTGACAGGAAAGTTCATAAGTAGCTGAAATCCAGCTCTTCTTGTGGCCATGTGGGTTCCATCAACAGATATTGTGATTATGTGATATATAGCTAGATAGGTAGATAGATATAGAAACAGATATGGATATATGGTGCATATGCATATGGAATGTTAAGAGTGCTTTTAATTAAAATCGTATACTTGACTTATCATTTGGATTCAGGCCCAATAAGTGAAAATAATCATTTTTCCACGAAAGGGGACTATCTATGGGAGGAACTATTGAAATTAGACTCAAAGAGAGTTACAGAAATATCAATAATGGTATTTCATTCATACGTTATGCTCTCTACTTTCCTACTGCTAGCGTAGTTCCTGCATTAAATAGGTACTTTTCTCTTGAGAAGTACTTAGCACATTGTATCCATGACCTGAAACAAGTAGTAAATAATATTCATCAAACTGACCTGAGACAGGTTTATTGAGTTAGGAATGATTGATCAGCTGGTATAAATCAATGTTGCTCCATTGAGCTAGGCCAAAGCGTACTGGTTTTGAGTCTTGAAATCTTGAGTCCATCATGACCACCTTGGTATAGTATGGCATAGTAACTGGCTCAAAAAGAAGATTTTTCTTGACTTTCCTATATTCTAAATATTGCTTTATATATAACCCTTTTACTTTATTATTTAAATTTGTTTTTTGGTTCTCTTATCAGGTTTCTCATCATCAAAGCGTTTGAAGATTACAGTGATAAAGGAATACAAAAAATATAAACACTGAGATGAAGATAGAAGCAGAAAGTGTTTATATGGCAATTGTCATGAAACTGTTACCAAAAAAAAGCACAGAAGTAGAAAAAAGATGAATTCAAAAATTCCCTGTCCAGAACAAGACAGGAAAAATATGCATATAGACAAAAATCCTCAGATTTTTGACTGTAAGTCTTTTATGACTGTAAGAATCATTGCTGAAACCATTTTGAAGGTCGCCCTGGGGTCCTCTAAATAGTGCAGTTGTGTTAGATGCCCCTTTTTTTAGATATTTCTTCTACGATTAAGGGTAACGTAAAGACTTATTTTTCTAATATGGTTACCTGTAAATTTTTCCATCAAGTATCCTTTCAACATTTTCGAACTCCATTACTCAATTTCAAACAAATGTGACATCAGTACGGACGGTAAAAGCTCCGCAAATGCTCTAAAAATAGGGCAAATAATAGAACATGTCAGTGCTCCACTGACCCAGTGACAGGATGAAGGATGAGTTTGTTTTTAGATACCAAAAAATGGTAGAGAAAAGGAGAGAAAAATTCCACCCGTGGAGAAGCTGCATCTCTTATGAGATACTGCATAATGCAATGAGACAGAAAGCATAGGCAATCAGGAGATTCTGCTCATGTATTGGTGGCTCTAAAGGTGGGGGAATTTCAGAGGTGGCTGCTGTCTTAGGAGGAAGATATGAAATACAGAGAATTTACAGATTCTGCAGAAAGACACCATAAGTGACACAGCTTTGGCAGTTAGCGGGAAGTTTGTGAAGCAGCAGCAAATTTCAAAGCAGCCAGTAGGTTGGTTCAGACTTTCAGCTGTAATGTCAGGACATTGATTATCTTCTAAACAACGGTCTCTCAGGATCATTGAATATGCAAGGTCCAAGACAACATGCACTTCTCGTACTGTTTTGGTGGCCCTGCCCCCATAGATAACAAGAATTCATGTTATATTGCCTATGTTATCCTCAGCTGTACGTACTATCCAGCACTGAACACTATTCAGGTACTATAGCACTAAAGTACTATTCAGGCACTTTATTAGGAAAATTTGTACTTACTTTCTTCATTGTTAATGCTTTCGGGTAGGGTTATAATCTAGACAGGGCTCCAAAGTATGACTTCTATGCTGTAAAAATAGTCTAGAATTCAGAAGACTGGATTTGGGCCTGATGCATGCTTTACCATACCCCATATATTTTTTAACAAACATCTACAAGGAACAAATAGCTGTTATCCTCCCTGCGTTTGCTAATGGACTCAGACAGACAGCACAAAAAGCATATTTAAATCCACTAACAGTAAAAGAGTAGCACCTTGAAAAAGTGACTCTCAGACTCAGTAGTCTGCCAAAATGAGTACTGTGGTGTAAATATTTGAAATAATTCTTCATTGTATGGTTACAAGCCGAGCAATAGGGATGCAGAAGGGGTAGAGGAACATTTCGAAATGCCAGGTCCTAAAGATAGCTGTGAATTTTCACTATTCAGTACATCTGAGTAGACAAAGAAAATCCGGACCTTTGATGACCCCTGGTGAATAAACTAAGCACTGCATTGAAATGACGACCGATACTGTACTTGTCCAGTTAATTCTCACCATAAAAAAAGCGAAGAAGGATTGTTTCCTTAAAAAGTAGAGGAAAAAGGACAAAACTCGTACCGGGTAGGCCAAAGGAAACAGGTTTTCCACAGCTGGAATATTATCAGGTCTCAGGGAAGTACAAGATTTTAGACAATTTAAGTGGATCTAGTGACAGTGAGCTTCTGCATTCCTGTATCCCTGTAATAAAAACTGGCTGAACTTGGAAGAGGAAAAATACATTTTACCGTACAAATATTGTACCTCCTGCACGGCCCAGGGAACAGGAACCTTTAAGCCATACAGCAGTCGCAAGGAGCTTGGTGAACCCAGATCCTCCCTGCACCCTCCCACATGGCTTAAGACACAAACCGGGCTCCCACGGTCCCCGTCCACCCTAGTGCTCCCTGCACGCGCTCTGTGTCAAGTCTGGGTTAAACGCTCCCCGTCTGGGTTTCATGTGAGCGCTTCTTTTAATCACAGTGTTAATGATGGGAAGCCCCTCATCGGGCTCATTGACTGTAGATAAGATTGTACGATGCTCCATGGAATAACTTTATATTTAAGTGAAATACAAAGTTATAGGCCTGATTATTTGTCTTCAACATTTTTTGTTGGATATACTGATTCCTACTGTAACTAAAACAGCAAAGAATATAAAGTCCTTTTTAATAAAAGACAGCATCATATGGGTTGCTGTATTGCACACTACTCTGCACTGGCTGTGTTCACCTAAGGTATATGCATATCGATGTTACTACACTATGAATGAGAAGTTAAATTAATCTAAATTTTTCAGCAAGAAGCTATGATCTGAGGATTAACGACATGCAGCTGTAATTTTGTCGCTGAACTGCATATTAAATTGAAAATGTTTGACCTAGGAGCCATAAAAATCAAAACTACTTCTGCCTCACATTTAAGATAAATCATTTATTATATTTAAGTAATATATCTGTTTTCTGAAAAATCAAATTTCCAATACACACTATGCATTGAGATTTCTCAGTCATTAATGGTCGTCTTGCAATGAAATCTAGCATGTGTGTAAAAGGTAAAGGATTTGCTGGTAACTTAAAGCTGAAGTGAAGAACTTTTTATCCTACTGGGGCGGAAAGGGAAGCGCTAAAGCACCTGAGTTTAAAGACAGAGCTTCTATTTACCACTGGCAAAATTCGCAAGTAACATTAAAATGTATCAACGTAATATTATTAGCCTTTTGAGAGTGAAGAATTTCTTAAGGCCTCAGTATTATCTGTGCACACAATTCTGAGCTTTCTGTATGGTTTTAAATTCCCCTTCTCCTCTCTCTTAGACTGCAGTCTAAAATTTTGAACATTCAATTCACCAAGGCCAGACAAATTTGCTTTGGATTAGGACTTCTGTAAATCTGAAAGAAACAAAAGCCAGGGGATAAGCACATGGGTTTAGTAAGGCAAGCATTTAGAAATACGAAGAATCCCTTGCAGCTCCAGCGGACTCTGTGAAGAGCATCCCTCCCTTTAGCTGCTCAGTGCAGGAGACCATCCAGGGTGGAGGTGGGCTTGCTGCCATCATTGAAAAGACAGTGAAGGAGGATGTTCCCATCAAGCTATGCTGAGCTACAGAAAGGAGGATTCAAGCAGGAGCTTCCTACTTTTCTTGGGGGAGCAAAGGTAAGCGTCAGTTCAAGGAGAGTAGCACAAGGGAGCACAAGAACCTTATATTTCTGTCAAAACTTCATTCAAACACAACGTACTTTTTGTGTCTATCCTGCTGGGTAAACATACAGAGATTCATAAAACCATGATTCCTAAAATTAGCCTTGAACTCAGCCTTAGTCATGCAAGAAACCCTTCACCATCCAGCTAATCTGCTCAACTTCAACTGACCACAGGGTGTCCTTTGCAGTGAGGGACAATTCAAAGACAGCGTGTTAGGCTATATATACACCATGTGTATTGTCTTGGGCTGCGGCTTGACGTTTGAGGGTATATTTACTCGTTGGCCAACTCATTGGCAAAAGTGTTATAAGAAATTGCTACCCGTGTTCTGAAAAACAGTTCACTAGTGTAATAAGCGTTATGAAGAAATATTTTGCTATTATCTTTAAGGGTTCTAGTTTAACTTTAAACCGTTACATTATCTGGTTTAGAGCTCTGCCCTACTATGAGTGGCATTGACATAACTAAAGGGTAAAACTAAGGGCCTCAGGAAAGAGCCTTTTCAGTCAAATAGCAGAACTGTACTAGCAACTGGTCAGCGATTTTGGATGCAGATGCACCCACCCAATAGGCTACCCAGATAATATATTTGCATGGACAGGAGGCATTTTGTCCTGGCTGAGAATGACAGCAAAGCTGGTGAAGATACAGGACTCTGCAGTTCTTCTATATCTATAGGAAAAAGGTAAAAGACTTCCACTTACATACATAGCAAAGGGCAGAAAGATCTTGACCGCGTCTCATCCCTGTCCTCACAAAAATATCTCAAGGGTTTTAAAACAGTGAAGTGCTGGAGGAAAATTGTCATGAAATATATATAAAATATAAGATAAAATTATATTATACTTATACTATGGGCGCCAAACACTTTGTGTCTTCAGTTACTCTGAGAAACAATTTGATATTTCTAGCAACACGGACAAAGTATTGACCCGCCTGGAGGCAGGAGTTAACCTGAATGGATGCTGGGCATAGCTTACAGCTAGAAAGTATTTTTCTGCTGTAATTTGACAGCAGGCTTATTGAACTAAGCATGTCTAAGATACAAACTATTTGTACTACTTCCATGTGTCTTGTGTAGATCTGAATTATAGCCCATTGTTAAAAGAATAAATGTTCACTGTTTCCTGTATAATATGTTCTGCTTAGCAAAGAAATGTAAAATATAGTATTTCAAATATCTAGACAATCTCTCTCTCGGAAGCTTCTAGAGTATCAAAAGTGGAAAAAACATTATTTTTCCAAATGGAAATCTGCTTGTCTTACCAATTACCATCCTTCAGGGCAGATTAGTTTGTGCTCATACTTACATGGATGTGTAGGCGTGAGAAGTTTTTTTACCTCATCTCACAAATTGAAAGGACACTCTCAGACTACAATCTGTATTTTTAAAAAATCTTTTCTGAAGACTTGCATAAAAATACCTTTTCCATGCTCCATTTTTACTGGCTATCTCCTTTTCTTTTTCATTCATTTTGAACAATGAGAACAGACTAGATTGCTGACTTTTATGTATATTCACTTTAATGTGCTTTCTCACTTGTGGCAATCCTTTATTGTGGTGCTGGAACTGAAATTCCCTGTAGGAAAATGTTTACTTTCACTACATTATATTGCTAGAAACTGCTTTTCAAAAGTTTTAGAACTTTTAAATAGAAATTATAATGAACTCTCTCCAAAGTTTGATGTATTTTTGTTACAAGTGTCATTGAATATCCTTTAAACTAGCAAAACAAAATCAGAAACTTTTTCACTACTATGACATATTTCATTTTACATTTTCAGCTTGTTCCTCTCATTAACTGAGTTCAACTTCTCCTCTTGATTGTATGGAACTTGTAAGAAGAAAAAAAGCACTTCAGAAATATAAGAAACTACTGCAATAAAACTACAAGACTGGCAGCATGCTTCAGGGGCCACTTGTAGTGGCCAAAGTTACTTCATGTTTTTCCCCTTTTTCCTCTCTTCTTTAAGGTTAGCTATCTGTCATGGCCTTCTTAATGATTTTTAAGGGTTTTTTTTTTTACCTACTGCTTAAGTGACAAGAAGTTTTTAACAATAGAGACGGTCTATGCAATTTGGCCAATTTTGAGATACCATGATAACAGCATGATAAATTTCATATTTGATTGCCAACTGCATCATTTTACTGGAAGGTAAGATGGAAACTCAATTATAAGTCATTTCAAAGTGAACTAAGTATATTTGTATGGGCCAGGTGATATCCCCGCTTCCTACTCTGAAACCATTGCTTGTACAGTAGGCACCTTAATACTCACCTGCAAACTTTTTGGAACATAAATAATAAATGCTGTAGTAGCAGTGCATTACTAGGTATCCTCAGAGGGAGTTCGCCAAATATATGTCCTCATGTACATCCATGCCAAATTCTAAATCAGGACTTTATAGATTAACTAAACGCTTTCTAGAAATCAGCTCAGATTTTGAAGGGCTTTTTCTGAAGCCAAAATATTCCAAGGGTGCAGCATGCTGTTCCCGAAGGTTGTTTATTATTTAGAAAAAGATCTGGGCTTAAGCACACATGATTCATCATGTATAACGATACTTTTACAAGGTCCTCTTTTTTCTCGTAGTTGCTATCACTCCCATTTTCTTCTCATGGACCTTAAACCTCAAAATATGCGGCAGACTGACTGAAAGCCCAGTTTCAGAGCTCACCATTAGAGTCTGTCATTCAGTATCTGTGCGCACCGTAGACGGCAGAATGACTCAGGTGCTATAGGCACAAACTACCACGGGCAGTGATGTACATTGTACTTCAGAGTCTTAATTTGGACCAATTGTAGCTGTAACAGGACCAGGCTCTGACAATAGAACAGGAGAATCTGAAGAGTGAAGGTTCATTTGATGGGTCGGGCTAAACCTATTATCAGAATTGGTGGGAAATGCAGTCCTCACACACACACACACACACACACACACACATTTTAGGTTTTGATGAAAAACTTAAATTTCTCTGGGAAAAAAGATCTCTTCTTCCCTTTTCTTTTCCCTTTTCCTTTCTTTTCCTCTTCCCCTTTCCCTTCCCTGTCTTCGTTAGATCCCTTTTTTCTTTGTTTTTCGGTTGGAATTCCCTCACCCTCAACTTCCTTCAGAAAGTTCTGAAACAATTTTTTTAACTAATTTTAATCATTAAATGTCATCAATCTACCGCTACAGTTGCTGTGTGCTGCCTGGAGTTCTGTCGTCTTTAAGGTTACATCTCTACTGGAAAAAAATCTGATTTTATTGTAAGAGAGTTAATACAAAGTTGCTACCCCAATATAAAGTCCTACTTGAGACACGACACTGGCTACCTACTTTGATGTAATTGTTAAGCTAAAACAGCTGCATCTCAGATACAATTTACATTTAGATGGACAACTTGTGATGATCCTTTCTGACACAGAAGGCACCATTTTCTCAGTGAAGACAGTCATCAAACACTGGATACTGAAATTTAAGTGCATCTATATACATGTATTATATATATTTTCCTGATAGTTTACCGTCATAAGAGGTAAAAGATTGCACGCTGAAAGCTGAAATAGTTATTTACATACACAGATCAGGTCCACGAGTGTCCAAATTCATGAAGGCTTTTTTACACTCAATCGTCCTGTGTGCATCAAGTCCAATTCTCACTGCAATGCGACGTAACTGGTGTCCTTCTGCCGCTACTCATAATGGCTGCTGGCTATTATGTCAGGAGCTAGGTCAGGGCTGTTTTTTAATTGCTGCAAACATCAGTAATACTGAATTTAAGGCAAATCTCCTCCAAACTGCAGCTGTTGGGTCTAGGAACTGAAGTATCTGTTTTGGCTGACAGACATCCCAATATCGTCATCGAGTATCAAAAGATTTAGTGGCATTCAAGCTGTAACAAGCTATTCTCCTTTTTCAGGTCATCAGAAGAAAGCAGGAGAGTGTTAAGCGGGTCTTGCTGGCCTATACCCGAGACAACACAGGCGAGAGACACCTGCACAGAGGGTCCGGTGCCTGATTTGGTAGCGTCTGCGTCTACTGAAGGCCAAGGGAGACATGGAGAAAGTCTCCCTAAGTCAGGCGTCATGTTAAGGGGAGCAGCACAATACTGGTATTGCTCTATTTCAGCCTGCAGGGAATACCAAACCCTCCA